AACCGAAGCCATATAGTTTATTCGAAAGGAGGTGGTGTGAAGATGCTTAATTAAGTCAGCGTTGATTAGAGCATCTGATACTTTGTAAAAAAAAGAGGTAATGGGGGATAATTCGATGGTTCAGATGCTCCCCAGGGTTCTTAAAGATAGGAACCACAGAGGAGAACTTCCATAAAGTTGGAAAACAAGAAGTAACGAGGCATTTATTGTAAAGGTTGGCAAGAACAGGAGCCAGTTCAGAAGCACATTTATTTAGGACAATTACAGGGACACTGTCGAAGCCGCAAGTTTTGTGGGGGATCTAGTTAAAAAATGATAACAAAAACTATGGACGTAGTTATGTGCATATCACTCATTAGAGACTGGTGGGTTAAATCTGACAGAGATACTCCAGGAGCTGAGAGTCGATTGGGAATAGAATTTCTGGGCAAAGCACTCTACTTAATCTGCAATAAATAGCAACACTTCAAATTAACTGAAGAGAGGAGGGGCTGAGGATTTGCTATTGTTCGATATACACTTGTAGAGCCGCCAGTAATCTCTTGATCCAAACTTGTGAGAGGCTACAAGGTGTCTTATTTTATCAGCGAATAGTGACTTTGCCTCTTTGAAGACACGCTTACATTCATTACGAATGGTAACAAAGAAACCTCTGTTTATAATCGGACCTGTCGCTCTGATATAACCGGAAGAAGTGATTCCTGTGGGCTATAGCAGCTGAACAGGCAAGAGAGAGAACCAAGGAGAAAATATTGTTTTACTTGGTATTTATCCGTGCCGGAACGAATCTTCAATGCCGACTTTCACTTTGGAAGAGACTCCGTTGCATATCTCTCTGCAGGATTATTTAAAATATCAATCCAAATGGGTTTCACGAAGGAAATCACGATATGAGCCCAAGAAGTGCATTGATGACAGAAATATGTTCTGATAATAGGGGTTCTTGCCTGATTTGGAGAGGCAGAAAGAGATATCTTTTGACACTGTCACGTGGCTGGAGCTTAGAAGAGTACAGAGCACGACATGATTCCGTTTGCGTTTATATTTGAAGTTGACGTTAACTACACAAACGCGAAGGATACGAGCGATTCATAATTATAAAAATATAACCTTGCTTGACAATAAAAGTTAAACTTAAGTTACTCGGGTATTTAAGTTTTATAATTATATTTACTTAAGTTCTATATAGTATTGAGCACTTATACTGTACTTGTTTGTTATATATAATTAGCATTGACTAACTACAAGTGGTTTTAAAACACATGTAAGACGTCTCCAGCTTCGGTGCACGCTAGGTTTGATTTGAAATTATGTATAAATTATATATGAACAAATTACATGGTAAAAAAATATTTTGGCTTGCAGACCGTTTCGTAATTTTGATTATATGCCTTTTCCGGGTTTGTTTTTGGAAAAATAGTGTCTTCAATATCGGAAAATAAAGTGTGTTTTGTCCTGATTAATGCAAAAACAAATCTCGTTAATTTAAAAAAATAATAATAAAAACAAACCCAAATAAATATCGGTATGAATTTACACATGTCGAATTTTCACATCAGGAGTTCTTGTTTGTTATCTCACTCATTTCGTAAGTTTTGTTTTCTATCCAGTAAATTCTTTGGATGTGCGGTGTGGTGTCATGGATAATAGCTCTGAATCAGAAATCGGAGAACAGAGTTCGAATTCCAGTCTAGTTCCTTACAATCACTTACCCGCAAATATTCTTGGGAAAGGTAGGAATCCGTCTATTCCGTCCATCTATGGTAGGACAGACTGGGTCTTATAGCGTTGGTTTGCAACCAGTCTATCGCAGAAGGAAATGGTAACCTACTGCGAGAAAATCTTCTGTCATGAAAGAGACATGATCGCCCAAGCGTGTATCACGTACATCACTTAACTGACTGACTGAATTATTGGTGACTTTTGCTGGAGATGAAATGACGACGGAAAGTCTCAGTATTTGAAAGATTCCGTCCGAATCTTTACAGATTTTAAAAATGCTGTCATTTGGATAGGTTCATTCTTCAGATTTCCCATGCTGATATATTTGCATGACTTTCCGAGACTGTTTTAAGTTTTAAATAATCGGGGTTTTACGCCTATTTATGTTCAAAAATAATTCTCTTATAATCCCCTAGATGGCGTAGTAACAAGCTATATAAAAGGAAAAGACTCCTCCTACATGTTCATTTTTTTTTTCTCTCTCTCAACCCCAGCATACGGCAGTGGCAGGACGTCGTGCAAACAGATTCCTTAATTTCACGCAAACCACGTGGCGTGCGCGCACACATTTTCCGCTAATACCATAAATAAATAAATGAGTAACGTTTATCCGCGTAAACAAAAGTACATTTTTCTCTTCTTGAATTATGCTTTTATATATATATATATATATATATATATATATATATATATATATATATATATATATATATATATATTATTATTATTATTACTATTTGTATAAAAAATATCCACGTGTTGAAATCAGTTGTTTTGAAAGTATTCTAACGAATGCCATTACAACACAACCACTGCATAGTGTTGAAGATTAATACATTTTATACTCCCGCCACTTTCTGTGACAAGTTCCAGATATTTATCTAGATTTTCTTTTAATTACTCTTCCTTGTCTGCTGGAATGTCTACATCCATTAGATAGATTTTCTTTTTGGTTTCCTCGTCTCGATAGGGTGATGAGTTTGAATTTCAAAATCTCAAAGAACTATATATATTTTTTTTTATTGTCTAGCGCAGTTTCGTGCATATGCCAATTGTCTTCATTGTCAGACGGATATCGTCTGCCAGATTCCCAGCAGATCACCATTCCAACCTAATTGAATCACTATCGGATTGAGTTTCATCTTTATCTCCGGATAGATGACATTTGCTATTCTGCCATGCCCTCTCTATTTTGGTTTTGATAGAGTTCGTTTATAAATAAATTTATAACGAAACTATCCAAAGTTCATTTAATCTGGATGTATGACTGTTTATACGAAAACACACACACATATATATATATATATATATATATATATATATATATATATATATATATATATGGATAGAGCAATAATCCTGTAATCCAATAAGGAAAAGAATTTATTTTAAAAACAAATCAACTTTCAACATTCCCTTTCAATACGACTTTATTTCTTTGATGACGGATCGAATATTATTAAAAATCAAAATTTAGTTGTTTCAAGCACAAAACATTAATCACACACACACACATTAAGTGACCATATATAAGAAAAAAGTTGAAAACATTCTACTGGAGTGTTTAAAAGGGTGTATTTAGAGTAACTTTACCAGTTTCAGAGTTCTATGATTTTCAAAAGTTAAACTGAGATGGAGACATGTGTCTATACCATGATCAGTTTCGCAGATGCGAAATAAATATTCTTAAGGATTCAGTTGCATTTTCAACTTCTTTTTACTGTATATTTTTACCCGTATGAAACACGCACACGCACATATGTGACAAAAATATAGTTTTAAGGTATGCTATATTTTTGTGTCAAAGTCCTCAATATCAAGAATAGAGCGGATGTAAATACTAAAGTGAACATAGAGATCAACACCCAATGGCGACAGTCTGATTCATGTTTAAATGCAATCTTCAGGCCTAAAGATTGCTTTTAAGTATGAAACAGACTGTCACTGCTAAGTGTTAACCTCAATGTCCACACACACTCTATATATTACACACACAAACACACGTGTGTGTGTGTGTGATAGAGAGAGATTACTACATTTGGAGTGTTCTCCATACTGAATAATGTCTTAATGAACCAAAATAAAACCTGCAGCTACAAAGGATATATTTTTTAATCATTTCACCCCACTAAGACACAAGAGGTTACCGAGTGTGAAAGAATAGGAGAAAAAAAAAAAAAAAAAAAAAAACATTAAGGAGAGGGGATATTAAAAGAACGGGAATTAACGAGACAGGAGATGACGATTGACATTGCATTTAAATTTCTGAAGGTCAAATTTGAGTGAAAAGTAAGAAGTGAGAGATAAGAGACGGTTAGCACAGAACTTACGGTTACATCTAGCAATTTCAACTATGATTCAATTGGTTTGGAAAGAAAGTGCCCATTTTAGCTTATCACTGGTTCGGCTGAAAAGTCACATCAGCAGTTATGTTCAAAGACATCAGATTGAATATAAATTTTACAGACAGAGAACTTGATTTGTATCTTTTTTTCATAAAAAAAAAAAAAAAATCACCAAGTCTCACCAAGCATAGGAAGAATTCATAAATAGCAATTGTAAAAACACTGGACAAAAAAAAAAAAAATATCCAAAATAACTTTTGTCTTTTATTATCAGTATTTGGAGCTTTTAAAATCTTTCTAGTTTTAAGAATCATTGCAGAACCCATGAGCGGGCAACAGTAGTAGATGCATAGTTATATTACAGAGATGGTTATCATCGTAATATCTACTATTTATTAAACTTATGAATCTGGTGAGGATTGAAATTCCTAACATCCAGCCAAGTGGCACTTGATTCCGATAGTTTTCATTTATTTATTTTCTGTTTCCTTTGATGATCTTATTTATAGTTTTTACTGCTTGCCATAAAATACTATACACTTCAAACTCATAACTATCATAGATATGATTAAATAGACGAAAATTAAATTTGTTATCTTGTTGCTCTAGGATATCTGTACACTTCACTCTTTTTTTTTTAATTTTATAAAACAAGATTTCCATACTTTCGACAAGTATCTTTGTGGTTTTCAATAAAAGTTTTTTCATTGACAGGTTTACCTGGTTTCTTGAAGAGTACATTAAAACTGCTTCACCTATCCTTCATTTTCTCTGTCAAATTTCCTCAAGCCTCTCAAAGAGATAGATCGACTATTATTAGAGACGTGACCAAACTTAGTATACATCTGTCATGAGATGATATATATATATATATATATATATATATATATATATATGCATATATATATATAATATTAAAATAAGGAATGTAATTTAAAAAGTAAGAGAGAGAGAACTGGGAGGCGGGAGAAAATGAAAGAAAGAGAGAGAGAGAGAGATGTGGAGGCGGGAGAGAAAATGAAAGAAAGAGAGAGAGAGAGAGAGATGTGGAGGCGGGAGAGAAAATGAAAGAGAGAGAGAGATGTGGAGGCGGGAGAGAAATGAAAGAAAGAGAGAGAGAGAGAGATGTGGAGGCGGGAGAAAATGAAAGAAAATGAAAGAAAGAGAGAGAGAGAGAGATGGGAGAGAGAAAATGAAAGAGAGAGAGATGTGGAGGCGGGAGAAAAATGAAAGAGAGAGAGAGAGAGAGATGTGAGAGAAAATGGGAGAGAAAGAGATGAAAATGTGGGAGGAGAAAATGAAAGAGAGAGACAAATGTGGACGCGGAGAGAAAATGAAAGAGAGAGAGAAATGTGGACGCGGGAGAGAGAAAATGTGGACGCGGAGAGAGAGAGAGAGACAAAATGTGGACGCGGGAGAAAAAATGAGAGAGAGAAAATGACGCGGGAGAGAAAATGAGAGAGAGAGACAAATGTGGACGCGGGAGAGAAAATGAGAGAGAGAGACAAATGTGGACGCGGGAGAGAAAATGAGAGAGAGAAAAATGTGGACGCGGGAGAGAAAAATGAGAGAGAGAGACAAATGTGGACGCGGGAGAGAAAATGAGAGAGAGAGACAAATGTGGACGCGGGAGAGAAAATGAGAGAGAGAGACAAATGTGGACGCGGGAGAGAAAAATGAGAGAGAGAGACAAATGTGGACGCGGGAGAGAAAATGAGAGAGAGAGACAAATGGGACGCGGGAGAGAAAATGAGAGAGAGAGACAAAGAGAAAATGAGAGAGAGAGACAAATGGGACGAGAGAGAAAACAAATGAGAGAGAAAATGAGAGAGAGAGAAATGTGGACGCGGGAGAGAAAATGAGAGAGAGAGACAAATGTGGACGCAGGAGAGAAAATGAGAGAGAGAGACAAATGTGGACGCGGGAGAGAAAATGAGAGAGAGACAAATGACAAGAAAAATGTGGACGACAAATGGGAGAGAGAAAATGAGAGAGAGAGACAAATGTGGACGCGGGAGAGAAAATGAGAGAAACAAATGAGAAAATGAGAGAGAGAGACAAATGTGGACGCGGGAGAGAAAATGAGAGAGAGACAAATGTGGACGCGAGAGAAAAATGAGAGAGAGAGACAAATGTGGACGCGGGAGAGAAAATGAGAGAGAGAGACAAATGGGACGCGGGAGAAAAATGAGAGAGAGACAAATGTGGACGCGGGAGAGAAAATGAGAGAGAGAGACAAATGTGGACGCGGGAGAGAAAATGAGAGAGAGAGAGACAAATGTGGACGCGGGAGAGAAAATGAGAGAGAGAGAGAGAGACAAATGTGGACGCGGGAGAGAAAATGAGAGAGAGAGACAAATGTGGACGCGGGAGAGAAAATGAGAGAGAGAGAAATGACGAGAGAAAATGAGAGAGAGAGACAAATGTGGACGCGGGAGAGAAAATGAGAGAGAGAGACAAATGTGGACGCGGGAGAGAAAATGAGAGAGAGAGACAAATGTGGACGCGGGAGAGAAAATGAGAGAGAGAAAAATGTGGACGCGGAGAAAATGAGAGAGAGAGACAAATGTGGACGCGGGAGAGAAAATGAGAGAGAGAGACAAATGTGGACGCGGGAGAGAAAATGAGAGAGAGAGACAAATGTGGACGCGGGAGAGAAAATGAGAGAGAGAGACAAATGTGGACGCGGGAGAGAAAATGAGAGAGAGAGACAAATGTGGACGCGGGAGAGAAAATGAGAGAGAGAGACAAATGTGGACGCGGGAGAGAAAATGAGAGAGAGAGACAAATGTGGACGCGGGAGAGAAAATGAGAGAGAGAAAATGTGGACGAGAGAAAATGAGAGAGAGAAAATGTGACGCGGGAGAAAATGAGAGAGAGAAAAATGACGAGAGAAAATGAGAGAGAGAGACAAATGTGGACGCGGGAGAGAAAATGAGAGAGAGACAAATGTGGACGCGGGAGAGAAAAAATGAGAGAGAGACAAATGTGGAAAGAGAAATGAGAGAGAGAGAGACAAATGTGGACGCGGGAGAGAAAAAATGAGAGAGAGAGACAAATGTGGACGCGGGAGAAAAATGAGAGAGAGAGACAAATGTGGACGAGAGAAAATGAGAGAGAGAGACAAATGTGGACGGGGAGAGAAAATGAGAGAGAGAGACAAATGTGGACGCGGGGAGAAAATGAGAGAGAGAGACAAATGTGGACGCGGGAGAGAAAAATGAGAGAGAGACAAATGTGGACGCGGGAGAGAAAATGAGAGAGAGACAAATGTGGACGCGGGAGAGAAAATGAGAGAGAGAGACAAATGTGGACGCGGGAGAGAAAATGAGAGAGAGAGACAAATGTGGACGCGGGAGAGAAATATAGATGTGGAGGCGGGAGAGAAAATGAAAGAGAGAGAGAGATGTGGAGGCGGGAGAGAATTTGAGAGAGAGAGAGACAAATGTGGAGGCGGGAGAGAATTTGAGAGAAAGAGAGACAGATGTGGAGGCGGGAGAGTAATTGAGAAAGAGAGAGATGTGGAGGCGGGAGAGTAATTGAGAAAGAGAGAGATGTGGAGGCGGGAGAGTAATTGAGAAAGAGAGAGATGTGGAGGCGGGAGAGTAATTGAGAAAGAGAGAGAAAATGATTAAATAGCTTAATCACCATGGAAAACAGAAACGGCCGAGTCAACTGTTCATTTTACATTAATTCTGTTGTAAAAGGCACGAATCCATTTCTCCCTGCATTGTGACATTACCAGTTACCATAACAAGCTATCTCATCTATCATATCATGATAGATAATAGGGAGTGGTTAAGTAGACAATTAACCAAACCCCTCTCCCATAATCCATTTACCTGCCCAGGCACGGATAAAAACTTTGTAACAAACGTTGTCAGCCTTAACAGAATCATATATATATATATATATATATATATATATATATATATGTGTGTGTATGTGTGTGTGTGTGTTCGCACGCATCGATATTCATACTATACAGTAATATTGAATACAGAGAGAATCTACCAAATACCTCTAGCAAAAACTTTGAAACCATTTACAGGATTATATTGATAATTAGGCGAAGTTAAAATGTCAAAATCGCACATATCCATAAAGAATTGAACGAAATGCCCTTTTACTAATCATTTTATTATCTGTTTTTCTATCAGATAAAAATGATTATATTATTCTATTAAAGCTTTTGACACGAGCAGCAAACGCTGTCACCAACCTAAGTAATTACCAAATATTGACACGCCGATATACAGGTCTGACAAAAATCTTTTCTATCATATTCTTTCGAGAAGGACCAAAATACTGTCGCGGTATGAAATACGAAATTGGTCTTAATATGTGGAAACAATTCAACATTAAATTATTATTTGTCCCGATTTTTATGGTGACGACATTTCTCCATTACATTTCATCAGATTCCTGCTTTATCACCAAATATGTTTTACTTACAGTCGAATAGAACCGCTAATTTTAATCGTTTACAAAATTCCACTTCATTCCGATGTCTCTACAAATCACAAACTCACTAACCTTGTATACAAATTTATAGAGCGGTTCCCTTCAGATGCCAACATTACTTCACTTTTGTTTTTTCTGATTGGCATCTATTGCGGGAGTGCGAATGATATGAAGCCTTGCTTTTGGGTTTATTTTTATCTGGGATTATATCATCCGTTCACAACATATTTAATATTCGTGCGCAAGATTACATGAAATAAAATATCAACAGGTTTTGGTGTACATACAACACATTTATTAAATGATTGACGTTTGATTAAGAATACAATTACTTACGTAATTGATGAATATTATTCGCAGAACACACTCACACAGATTTATCAGTATTAATGCAAAGAAATAAATGTTTTTAGGGATATATGTATAGAAAGTACATCTTTGTGATCTCATTTAAGAAAACACGTCTTTCTAGTCCAACAGTTGGTGATCAGAGAAAGAGACTTTGTATTTTCGCATCAAAACTGTCTTTCTAGCGCATTATCAGAATTCTGTCCCTTCCTTAACTATAACCTAACAAGTCAGGGGACGCAACTCATGCTTCTTATATTATGAATCACTACACATCCAAACAGACCAAGGATGCATGATTCAATTCATCGGCAAAAGATCTCACAAGAGATTGATATATATTAACTCACTGTTATGTGATACTATTTTTAATTTTTATCCCGCCAAATTAAAGTTGCTTTGCTATTGTAAATAAAGTATTCTCGTTAAGGTCAAACTTAAACGTTACTTAGTGCCCGTTTTACATTCCACAATAACCAAAATGCCTGATTCAATCAGCTTTCTGCATACCTTAAACCTCCTGCACCCGAAAACTTGGATATTAAAAAGAATAAAAATAAAGACAAAATTAAACTCTTGCTGAAATGAATTTTGACTCCATGATGCAAGGCAGATAACCCTGTGAATAGCTATCCCTTGAATTGTTCAGTTCTCATTTTCACTGTTTTTTTTTATCGAAACAGCCATTATGTTATTTGCCTGCATTCGGATTCATGTTGCATAACGTAATAAGTTTCATACAACATTTTCATAAATCTTGTCACTCCTTCTCCACGTGAGTGAATTCTGAGGTGTGGTGGTCAAAGATTCCAGCCGACACGGAAAGCAAGCAGAAAAGTTTAGAGGGCCTATTTCTACATTTTTCTGTTTGAAGAAGAGAAGATATTCATAAGCAATCCCAGGTGACATCCAAAAGATTAATGGCTGAAATACACAAAAAAAGTCGAAGAATATATGACAATCTCGGAAGGTCAAGATTATTATAATCTTGATAATTTCGTCTTTAATTATAATTTTCTTTTTAAATCGGTTTATATATATATATATATATATATATATATATATGTGTGTGTGTGCACACGCTTATCTAAATTTTGGTCTAAATGTGTTTGAATCTATCCAAGTGATATCCACAACTTAAGTACCTTGACAAAGTATATTATGTTTAGAAAATAAATATCTTTGTCCAAAATAAATACGTTTTTCCTCACGAGGCTTATGGGTTTGCTTATATATATATATATATATATATATATATATATATATATATATATATATATGTTGTTGTGTTGCTTGCACGAAGTCACAAGTCATCGTGACAGAGGATTTCAGCATACAGGCTTTGTTCAAACCGTTGTTTACGACACATTATGCATTCTCCCAGAAACTGTAACTGGAGGTCTGCTCAGCATAGTTGCCGTATGAACCACAGGTTGGCTTTGTATGCGTTAAACAAACAGGGATTGACTAACCATCCTAGCAGAAGGTTGTGTTCATAACAGAACATTAATATATATATATATATATATATAAATGTATGTGTGTGATAACTGCTACTTTAGAGAAGAAGGTTATCCCTTCAACGTTGAGCTGAGCGGTCATAGGCCGGCGGATGATTTTGCAAACCAGTCTCGTCCCTTCATACATTTTTTATCACATTAAACGTTATTTTTGTGTATGCACATATTTGAGTAGATGCATCGTTTATTTATTAAACAGTATAATTATTTTCGTCTACCGGCCTGAATATTCGAGAAATATGCGCTCTCCGGCAGGATTCGATCCTGATTAATCTAGTTAGCCTAATTAACCAAACACAAAAATAAAAATGCCAGAATTTCTTTTTTTCTCTCCATATCTCATGCTCTGTTGAAGCTTTAACAAAAGTAAAATATGTTAGATTTATGAATATTTCCTATTTGTTTTTTTTTTATCCACTCATCTTATCGGATTCTTATCTATATTTGACCTAAATTCATACACGTATGTTAATTACACGTATACTAACTGATCTCTCTCTCTCAAACACACACACTATCTCTCACTGGTAGCACGACTCAGAGTTTCATGTACAACGCAATCTTCAGTTGCTGAGTACAGACTGATCGTTATGTAATTTAAATTTTAATAAAAACATTTGGTTAACGCAGTGTTGGCGCAGTCCATATATTATACGGAGAATACATTTTTTTTTTATTTTAAAAATTATATTTTGCATTTAAAATAAACAAGATATATATAAATTAATTTAGAGGTGTGACTTAATTTTATATCAAGCATAAAGGGAGATTACTGGTTCTTTTTAAAAAAAAAAAAAAAAAAAAGCAAGAGAGAGAAATGTCATAATTTTCAATAAAAATTAATCTGGAACAACATATTTCAGCAGATATTTATTTTCTACCTACATGTAACAATCAATTCATTTATCTTGTTTAATAAACTAGGACGATTTAAGTATCTTCAGATAACTAATTTTTCAACAAAGCATAAATTACATTTATCGCCTTTCCCACTGCAAGATTTGGTTTTAGCTACAAAATCCCAAATAATAATGGGTGTATACCACCATTCTTTGTTTGGAGAGAGCAGTGCTGTTCGTGTATCTTACATTACCGAAAGTTATTCGATGATGGTAGAAACTGAATTTCCAAGGATTTTCAGTAGAACTAAAATAAAATTTGACATTGTTACTGGAATGCATGTTAGCTCGGTATACAATATTATCATCATACATGGGCCGTTTAAGGGACAGATCATATTTTCGGCAGTTGCATTTATTTTTTTTTTAAACATTAACTTTGTTGGGCATGTACCTGTTTAATATTGTCATGTTGGGATACTGATTTATCAATGTTATTAACGCAGCTATAGCTGATCTTAACATTATTTTTGTTAAAAATCTTTTTTTTAGTATTGGTGAATGATTCAAGTGTTTATGAATTAAATTTAGGAAAATTCTTCCGATATTCATTTGAACATTGCGATTAAAGAGGTGGGTTAAACCATATGATACGACTATGGTGTTTCTGTTTTGTTTTTTTTCTAAATAGTCAAAATTTACTTATTGTTGCTTAATTCTAAAGCTTTTATATATTTATTATTATTATTATCATCATCAAATAATTCTTTATTGCTGGAGTTAGTAGATAATCTAACTTGGGGACTGATGTATGTAAATTATCTAGAATATTATAAGGGTGGTTTGATTCCTTACTATATACTATATCTCATATCAATGGTTGTATAAATCTTTGGTATATGGTTTGTAATAACCAGTATTCAAGTCCAAGGTCACATCAAGAAAGTTGATCACTTTAACATTGACGGTTGTGGTAACATTTAGTTTGTGATCTTTGAAAAATGTTTTTTAGTTCGTTTCTCAATCGGTCTATAATTTCTTGGACTTGTTTTACGGAGTAGAATTACACAGTAATCTCTATAGAGTCCGGCGTCCTTATTGTTGAAAACAAATCTTAGTTGCCGCAATAACAAGATTGCGACAATCTCACATGCCTCTGCAGAATCCTATGCCCCCATAGCAATTTAAATTATGTGTTATTTCTTTTGGTCCACAGATAACCATTGTGGAATAATATAGGTTTTGTGCCTGCTTTATGATTTTACCATCAGCTAACAGGAAAGTATTTTGTTTTTGCTAAATTGATAGCAGACATTAGCAGATTCTCAATGAACAGGTATAAATAACAAATATCGAATTGGATGAACGTTCATTCTTTCTTGTGTGTGTGTATATATATATATATATATATATATATATATATATATAAAATAAAAAAAAAAAACAGACCACTTTAAGGTTCCATTATAATAATTTATTT